TACATTGGAAAAGACAATCACACAATCCATCAAAATTTATTATATAACTTAATTCACAGTTACTTTGTAAAGCCTTCTCCGATTTCCATTCATATAAAATGGGGGGAGGGGGCTTACCTAAAATAATGGTTGTGCTTTGTAGTATTCCATGTTCTTGGGATGGTTTTCCCATATAAGGTTTCCATAGTGTAATCTTTGGTTCCTATGCTAGTTTTGATTCTATAAGTTCCATCCTAGTTGGCATCGAATTTACCATCTCCTCCGTTCTTTCCCCCGACACCGGCCCATCTTAATAAAGCTTTCTAGGATGAGATCTTTGAGGTTTGATTCACTTGTTGTATTAAGTTGTGGTTTATTTCTTTATGACATCACTCATGAGGGCGATGATGACTTTTTTTCTTCTAGGGGGTCAATTTCTTCCCTAATTGCTTGCTTCTTATTCTTGCAAGTGGTGTGCTATCCTCCAACTAAGTTCTCTTATCTAAACCAAAATGATGACTTTAGTCCCATAAGTAAGTTTGAAGGGGATTTCACCCGTCGTCGAATAAGGCGTGGTCTTTTATGCCCATAGGAAATGCATGAGTTTGTTTTCTCATTTTCCATTGTCTCCTTCAAGTATCCTTTTCATTCCCTTTAACGACCCTAATTCACTAATTATGCTTGCCCATTCGTTTGAGGGTGCTCCACTGATATGAAATGATGCTTGACTTCCAGATCTTGTAACAATTTCTTCAATTTTTTATTTGTAAATTGTGTCCCATTATCAATGATTATGGATTGAGGTATTTCATACCTAACTAAAATATTTCTCTTTAATAACTTTTATATGTTAGTTGTAGTAATTTTTGCCAAGGCTTATGCTTCTATTGATTTTGTACAATAATAGACCACCACGATCAAGAATTTCAACTGACCTGGGGAAATGGCCAAGAATTTCCATACCCCGATATGAGAAAGGCCAGAGAAATGTTAACATATTTAACTTGGATAGAGGAGTGTTATGGGCATCCATGTGCTTCTGACACTATTTTTACTTCTTCATGTAGTCTCAGGCGTCTTGGATCATAGATAACTAACAATACCATGTCTTGAGGACTTTCTTGGCCAAAGAATCCATGGATCCAAGGTGTTTCCCAGATATCCTCTTGTGCACCTTGGAAAGGATGTACGCGAATTCTTCCCTTCAAGGCATTTCTGCAGGGGGTTTGATAAGCCTCTTTTGTATAAAAACCATATTAATGCATAATACAAACTTGTTATTCTCTTAACAATACTTGCTTCAATCAAATCAACAGGATGTACCCTATGTTCAATACATGTAGTAATGGATGATATCCAAGAGGAATGTGAGGCGCCTTTTGTAATCACAATTGCCACCTTAGAAGCTTTTATTATTGGAATCCCTAGAGTTTTTTTTTGTATAAAGTATTGGTTTATGCCCGAGGTTCCTATGTTCCTGAGCTTAGTTAGGATATTTTCCTTGGTATTCTTATCACTTATTTTGTTGACATACCATTGTAATAATGGATCTTTAGTTCGTGCTTTTCTTTTGACTTGGGATACCACTAGCTGTGTGTCCATCTGTAACTTAATATGCTCTTCCCCCATTCCTGCTTCTAGTGTGAGACTAACGATGAAAGCTTTATACTTAGACTGGTTATTAATAGTGAGGAACTCTAAACGTAGGGATATCTCAATTACCATTTTGGCTTTATTTACCAACATGACACCGACATTGCTTCTGTTACTATTAGATGTTATGTCTATGAACACGAATTAGGTACTAGCTAGTTCTAACGATATTAAAGTCATTTTTGCCAAGAAATCTGTGAACACTTGAGATTTTAGGGCTTCCTTAGGCTTAAAGGAGATATTGAATTCATCCATCTCGATAGGCAATTTAGTTAGCCATCCGACTAAATCTAGCTTGTGAAGGACTTATTTAAGATATGGGTATGTCTGAATGACGATGATGTGTGCTAGAAAGTAACTTCATAAATTCCTAGAGGCAATCACCAATGACAATGATACATTATTTATCTTCTGTTAGCATATTTTTGGTCTGACCAATGCTTTAAATATAATGTACACTAGGCTTTGATTAGCATAAGCTTCTCGTATGAGGGCCACACTGATTGCTTCAGTGGAGATGGCCAGGTAGTGGAAACATAATTTCCATTGTAATTGGCCTGGATAGAACCTATATGGGTATATAGGTTCCTTTTTAGTGATACGTATGCATGTTCGCATTCTAGGGTCCAATCAAAGCGTGTTTATTTCTTTAACAATTTGTAAAATGGTAACGCGTGTTAACCTCACCACGAGATGAATTTATTTAAGACCGTGAACATCCCATTTAACTTCATTACCTCTTTCTTCATGGTTAGTGCTTCCATCTTGAAATTTGTTTTACACTCGTCCAGGTTTGCTTCTATGCCTTTCTCTGTCAGATAGAATCCCAAGAACTTTCTGACTTTAACTCCGAAGGTGAATTTCTTAAGATTGAGCCAAATATTGTGTTGTTGAACCCGCCATAACATGATGGTTAGGTGCTCATCATGACACTCTTCTTTGCCTAATTTGAAGATCATGTCATCCATGTAGACGTATAATATTTCCATGTTTCTTCTTCGATGATTTTGTTCATTATCATCTGATATGTATCTCATGTATTCTTCAAGCTAAAAGTAATGACATTGTATCAATAGTTGGTTTGATCTGTCATAAAAAAAAATTGTGTCCGTGTCCGCAATACATGTGTGTCTGATTGTAGTATGAATATGCATCCATGAATGATAACACTTTATAGCCAATTGAGTTTTCTACTAGTTTATAAATGTTTAAGAGTGTATACGATTCTTTCGTGAAGACTCGATTGAGGTCGATGTAGTCAATGCAAATTCTCCATTTACCAAATACCTTATATTCTAGTACAACACTTAATATCCATTAGGTATACCTTTCTTCGAAAATGAATTTGGCGTCAAGTAGGCCCTCTACTGTATTCATGGCCGCTTCAAAAAATTTAGGGGATTTTTCTCTCTTTCTCTATACCACATAGAGGGAGAAAGGTTCAATGTTTAATTGGTGACAAACTACATTAGGGCCACATACCAAGAATCCCACACAGACTAATTTTGTTGTCTTATGTCAGATGTTTTTTGCTTACTCCTTGTTGATGATCCACCATCGACAAGAGAAACAATGAGGTAAAATGATGATTTTAAGGTTGATAAAACCACAGTAATTCCAATAGTTGGATAAAAAAGCATCATCTTCTTTTGATCAATATTACGATAGTTGATTCATGGCTTTGGAATCAAAAGGATTTGATCATAGAAATTCACGAGAATCGAAAGTCAATTCCTATAGAAGACACCAATGTTTCGTATTGAAACCAAAAATGATAGATACAAAGTAGTTACATTGACTGACGAGATAATGAGTACCTTCCGATAAAGATAAGAGGGGAAAACCTGCAAGGTTCCAAGTTAGTGAGATGTAAGAAAAATATAATTTAAGTTATGGTAAGAATATACATATGATTAGTACATGTGATGGGAGGTGGTTAGAACCACCATTTGCTTTCCAACATGAGATAAGATGGATTGTTCGATTAAATTTAATTGTGGATGACCCTCAGATTGTAAGAATTGAATGTTAGCTTCTTAATCGAGTGGACACGTGATCTTTAACAATTAAATAAATGCGTCTTGAATTGAATCTTCTTTGCGATTGAACATCTTTATCTTTTGAGACGCAAAACATTTTTTATAACAAATTTTAAAGAATTTGATTCGTTTACTTATATTTTATATTAAAATATAAGAAAAATAAACTTTATAATGATGTTTTATCAAAAAAAAAAAAAACCTTTTATTTAATATACTATTTCTTTACTTCTATTTAATAATGTTTCTAATTCTACAGAGGGAGTAATTAAGTCTTAAAGCAATAATTTTGTTATTTTCAATACAAGCAATAAGTTTTGTGTATTAGAACATACATTAGATTAAAAATAATGTGATTAATGGATCCGTACAAATAAATATCTATAAAATATATAGCCCATTATGTCCAGATGCAAAGCCCTAATGACAGGTGTCCTCACACATATCAAATTCTCCTTTTTCCTTGTCTCACTTTAGCATCAATTTTATTTTTTTCCTCAGCTTAACATGTCACCTAATAGTTTAACATTTTTCAATTTCTAATATTTCCCTCCATTTATATATTATTTAACATCTACTTTTATATTTAAGATATTTCCAAAATCAATGAGTTTTTTTTTTTAATATTTCAAAATTAAGGATTTTTATGTATATAAAGAGGTAAAGATATTCTGGTCAATTAACAATCAATAAAAAAATATTATTTTTTAAGGGTGACAAACATCATGTCGGTCCTGTTTAAGTCTATTCTTCAAAAATTCACAAATAAATAAGGCGGACTGACAGATATAATTGAAAATGCAAATTTAAAATTTAGGTTCGTTCCGTAAAAAAGTGAGAGTGAAGAAAGTCTACAGACAATGAATCTTTTAAAATTAAAAATGCCAAAATTTATATAAATACTTGTGTCTACAAAAATCCGCAGAAAAAAAAGATGAAGTTGAACAAACACATTAAAAAATAAGATACTAAACTCTTGATTCTTCTCACACTAAAATACGGACAAAACACACTAAAATAGAGACAAAACAGACATGTCCAACAACTCAAAACTCGTTTTGATATCCCTAATAATTTGAGTTTCACTTGCAGACCTTTTTGTTAATTAATATTAATTTCAATAAACAATGTTACCTTAAACAGTAAAAAGGTAGAGAAAAGGATCATAATAAGTGACATTTGATTGAGTGATAGAATCAAGTTGAGACCAAACCTACAAGTATAAATATGCAACAATCACTGAACCAAAAAGCATTGCCACATAAATTGGAACACTACAAAAACTTTATCCAAGCACATACAAAGTTTGAAACCATTAACAAATTCTGCATGTATTGGCGTGGAGTTATGGCTGGCCAAATTGGTCATGGTATCATGGAGGAAGATGTTTGGAGAAAAGGACCATGGACTTCTGAAGAAGATAGGTTGCTTATTGAGTATGTTAGGCTGCATGGCGAAGGTAGATGGAACTGCGTTGCTAGACTTACAGGTAACTAATAATACACCTTTGAAAAAATGTGTCTGTGTCCGTGTTAGTTTCTGAAACCGACGTTAATATTTGTGATTATGTTTATTCATTTTCTTTTTAAATTATTATCGGTGTTAATATTTCAGTATCTCAGTGTTTTATTTCCAATGTTTGTAATTAGTCTATTTGCTCTCAATTATTTTGGATTATTCAATTATGATCAACTTATTTCTTGAATCTTAATTTTATTCCTTTCTTCTTGTTGTTGTTAATAGGATTGAAAAGGAATGGAAAGAGTTGCAGATTGAGATGGGTGAATTATCTTAGACCAGATCTCAAAAGGGGTCAAATAACACCACAAGAAGAGAACATAATTCTAGAGCTGCATGCTAGGTGGGGAAACAGGTAAAAAAAATAGTTTATTCCTTTCTATCCTTCCGACCAGAGACATGTCAGATGACGGCTAACTCGTCGGGTTGTATCAGACACTGACACAACTATGATATATGTGAATAAATTATAACTTCAATTTCTTTATATAATTAAGTTATCATATATCAATGTTAACGTGTTAGTGTCGGTTGTCTCGTCTGTATCAGTATGAAATAAATGGACAACAAGTTTTTGAGAAAAATTTTCAGGTGGTCAACAATTGCAAGAAGCTTACCGGGAAGAACAGACAACGAGATAAAGAATTACTGGAGGACTCATTTCAAGAAAAAGGCAAAAAATCCATCCGATGCAGCCGAAAAGGCGAAAAACCGAATCCTTAGGAAGCAGTTATTTCATCAGCAGCAACAACAATTAAATTATCAGCAGCAGCAACAACTGCAATTCAACATGGACATGAAAGGTCTCATGTCCTTGTTTGAGGAAAATAATAATAATAATAGTAATAACCATAGACAAGAAATGTTCAACAATATGTGTCAAAACACAACAGAAGAACAACAAGGAAACTTTATGGTCAATGGAAACTATTGTGTTCCAGATTCTTCAGCAGATGATAATTTGTGGGATGGTCTGTGGAATTTGGATGAAGTTCATGGAAATTTCAGTAACAAAACTGGTTTATATAATTTAGTTGCTCCTTATTGTTAGTGTTATTTGGTTGAGGAAATTTATAATTAAGTGCTTTTAGTTTTAGTTAAAGTTATAGTTTGATATAAGGCTCCAAAAACCATGAGCTTTGGATTTGTTGCATAAGGTGTGTAGTTGAGTTAGTTGTCAATAAAGTGTCCCAGTTTTGCTTCTAAAACTTTTGAGTTTTTCTTTTCTTTTTTAATTATATATTATTTATTATTTATTAGACATTTTTATATTAATTAAAATATAATAACAATAAATGAAAGAAAATAATAATAATAATTTCAGTAAATTATATAACACCGATATTTCTAAAAAATGACGAGTCTTTTAATTTATTTATTTTTTAAATTATTATTGATGTTATCGAGTCGGTGTCGATGTCGTGTTAAGGCATACGTAATTCATAGTTAATAAATCATATTTATTAAGTATTGAGATTTTTTATTATTATACATATAAAATAATGAATATTAATTTAAGAACGGAGTGCTTTTATTAGAGTGGCATTAAAACATCATCAAAAATGTTAAAAATTTAAATTATCACTTTCTCTATAGATAATTTTATTGTTGCAAATTGGACTTTGTTATAGGAGTGAAAGAGTATTATTATTTTGATAGAAAAAATAATTTTTAATTTGTTAGAAAGGTTGTAAAATATATATGCACAACAAAATGAATTATAAATCTTCATGTTAATACTTCTTAAATCTTTTTAATATTCTTTTCTGTTTCAAAATATTTGTTTTTTTAAGATGTTTGTACACTAATTAAATAGTATAATAAAGTTGTATAAAAATATTTTTATTAAATTAATTTTATTCGCGTTGGAAATAGTGTTACATCTTAATAATTAAATAATATTATTATAACAATCAAGTCTTATCTCGTTAAGTGAAATAGGTTTCATAAAACAATCTATGTCATAATGTTGATTATATTTAGAATCATACTTTTATTCAAACAGTTAATTTTGATATATTCTTTTAATAATATTTCTTATAATTTTTCTCGATTGTTTCTCTACTTCTAATTATTTGACTCATTTCCATTTCAACTATTCTTCTTTTTAAATAATCTACAACTCTTAACCTAAGTATATTTGTTATTTTCTTTTCTACCATAGGTGTTACTCATAATATTATCTATAATATTGTAATTTCTAATCTTATCAGTCTTACCACACATCCAACGCAACATCTTCGTCTCTATTATACTTATTATTCTTGTGTTAATTTTTAACCGTCCAACATTCAGCCTCGTTCAATATCTTAGGTCTTACCATAGTTCGATAAAATCCCTGAAGTCTTCCTCTATTTCAACCACCCAACTTGAACTTAATGGTTTACACTCCCTTCTATTTCTCCATCATTTTGTATTATGGACTCAAGATATTTAAATCGCGTGCCTTGTGGGATAATATGGTCTCCAACTTTCACCTCTATGTTAGAAACGCTTCTCCGTTTACTGAACTTGCATTCCATATACCCTGTCTTACTTCTGCTTAGGAGAAAACCATGTGTTTCTAAAGCTCGCATTCAACCTCTCATTTAACTTCTCCTCTGATTCTCCAAGTAGCACTATATAATTTGTAAAAATCATACACCTTGGTGCTACCTCTTGGATGTGTTTCGTGAGTGTATATAAAATTAAAGTAAAAAGCCAGAGTTAAAAACCTTGATGCAAACCTATTGTAATTGGGAAATTGTTCGTCTTTCTACCTTGTGTCCGCACACAAGTTGATACATTTTCATACATATTTTGGATAGCTCAAATATATGCAATTCTAACCAATTTCTTTTCTAGAGTTTTCCATAAAATCTCCTGAGGCACTCTATCATACGTCTTTTCCAAGTCAATAAAAATTAATTACAAGTCTTGTTTGTCCATCTGATAATGCTCCATCACACGCCGTAGTAGATAAATGACTTCAATTATCGACCTCTTAAACATAAAATCAAATTAGTTCTCAGTGACTTGAGTTTCTTTTCTTAATCTTCGTTCAATCACATGTTCCCATAACTTATATGGTATTACTCATAAGTTTAATATCTATATAATTTGCACAAATTTGTATATCGCTCTTGTTCTTAAAGATCGGAACTAAAGTGCATATTTTCCATTCACTCGACATTTTCTTTGAGCTCATAATTTTGTTAAAGAGTTTGATGAGCCACTCAATGCCTCTATCTTCAAGAATTTCCCACACTTTAATAAGTATGTTGTTTGTTCTAACTGCCTTACTATTGCTAATCCTTTTTAATGCTTAGTTTACCTCTTGTTTCTGAATCTGACGGTAGTAACTGTAGTTTCGATCCTATTCTCTAATGTCGAGCCTACTAAAGTCTGACGACATATCATAACATTTGTTAAATAAATTACAGAAATATGTCTTCCACCTATTCTTAATATCATTTTCCTGAACCAAAATTTCGTCTTCGTCTTTAACACACTTCATTTGATTCAAATCTCTTGTCTTTATTTCTCTTCCCTTAACAAGCTTATATATAGATTTTTCTCTCTCTTTAGTTTCTAAAAATTGGTATAATCCGTCAAAAATTTGAGTTCTTGCTTCATTTATCGTCTTCTTAGTCTTGTTCTTAACTTTCTTATACTTTTTTCAAGTTTGGACATTTTTACATCGAGACCATTTTTTAAAATAATCTTTTTTCTACTCTAACTTTACTCCGAACACTTTCATTCCACCATCACTATTCTTTACTCCTTGGTTCAAAACCTCTTGATTCTCTCAACGTCACTTTAGTTATTTTTCTAATCCTTTGACCATCTTATTCTACACATCGTTTACACTTCTTTATAGTTGTTCAAACCCTTCTTCTAAGATCTTGAATTGAAAACTTTTATATATTCACCTTTCCATGCTCTCATGTGACCTCTTGATTCTTGCCTCTTTATATTAAAAAATGAAAATATTTATTTTTAAAAAAACTATTTTATTAAAATGACACTATTTTAAGAGAGATAATATTTTTTAATAACAATTCCAAACCATAATATATAGCAAAATCTTGATATACATTTTTTTAATAGTTTATAGATAACAAGCATTAAGGAAAAATTGGATTATTCCCTATAACAGAATCTTAAAATGATTCCAGCATGTTTGCTTTTGCCCATACATTTGTCTAAAATTAAATCAAAACTATAAATTGCACTAAAATTCTATAAAGCACACTTATTAAAGTAAATAAGTTCCTCACTTGGATGTGAAAGATCTGCTAGCTGTTAAATACTGTATCTAGAGATTATATTAAGACACTTTTTAGTGCTAAAGTACAAATCCTTACTAAGTTAACAAATTTGTCACCATATTCTTTTTTGTTGTTTATTCGACACATAATGCAAATGCAAATGCTATCTTAACAATATTTTTTTGTTATTCATTTTTGTTAATCAATTTGGGTTTTGGGCTTAAACTAATACAGAACTAGATTCTTCAAAACGTTACATATCTAACATGATATCATTTTTTAAAGTTTACAAAATTATCATTTTACAAGTTTTGATTATGCTCGTGCATCATGATTCTGATTTTCTGTAACAACTTTTATTTGATTCTGTTGTTGATTTTATGAATTTTTTTTGAATATTTTATTTTATTTTTTACAAGAGATTTTATATGAAGAAGATAGTATATCTTTTATCTCTAGATGTGGTTTCTGTAATCACAATTTGTAATTATTGAAATGTTTAATTAGTTTGAACAAGTATGAACAAAAATTGAGGTTAGGCTAGAATTTCACAATTTTAAACTAAAAATTTGAAATATTAATTTTTTATAGTTTAATACTATATAATTTATTTTCAACACACTAATAATTTATAGGATATGTGCAATAATTATCGTTAAATAAAATTTGTTAATTATTTAAATTCAATTATCTAATTGACTCTTGTTAAAGTTGTTTGTTGTTGAAGTATGAGATTGATGCTTAAAATGAAATCGAGAAAGTTAAAATCAAAGTAAAATCGAAATCGAGATTGAAGTCGAATGTGTGTTTGCGAAAAACGTGTTTTATGAAATCAATTTGAAATTTTAGAATTCACAATAATGGTTTGGAAATAAACGTTCATATTTAATATTTTGTAATCTCATTTAATAAAGTAATGTAAAAATATTAATAATATATGAAAATGTATGTAACGCAAATATAATTGAAAAATATTAGAAAATTATAATAAATATATTTATCTTTTTTATATAAGGTTTTATTAAATTTATTGAATTTGTTAAAAAAAAAGTATTTTATATTTTTTATAAAATTGTGAAAAGAGTTTATAACAACTTAAACCAGTTTTTAAATTCAATTAAATTAATTGATTTGATTTAAACAAAAAATTTAGTTCATTAACCATTTAAATAGTTCAAATTTTTTATGATTCAATTCAGGTTGAGTATATGGTATGGTAACTAAATTTTAGACAACATAAAATGTGATAATGAGTCTACTTTGATGGTTTATGGAAGCTCTTACAAAATTAATATTTTATATTTAAAATTTTTTTATTAGAAAAGAAATCAGTGTGTGAAAAAAGATGATATATATTAATCTATAAATAATTAACTAAATAATAAATAAAATGCACAAGTAATTGGTAGTCCAGTTCAATGCAATAGCCACCTACGTTTGAAGGACAGTAGCCTAATAGGAAGAAATTTACTAATTAAAAGTAATCAATAGTACACGACGATCTCATATGAACTCTTTCAGTTTAGTTTCATTTTGTTAATACATCTTGGTTACCAACACTTAAAATAACATCAAGATTATCAACTCCAAAATTCAGCACGTGCAAAATTTTGTTCATTCCTTCATGTTCGAAATTGAGAAGTCCAACTTCGTGCTTCAACTCAGTAATAGCGAGGTGAGTATGGTTTTGTCTTGAAGAAGACTTTCAATTGTTTCATTCTTCTTCTCAATCACTTGAGTTTCTTTAGACCACTTTAACAACAACATTATCAGATAGCACATATTCATCACTTATAGGCCT